GACGGGACACAGTTAAAGAGTCTATTCATGGCTTAATCTAGTGCCACATTTAAGACTGACCTTGCTCTGCCCCCATAAAGAACTATTGTGTTTATATTATGTGAGGATACTATTGGACAGAGCACAATACAGTATGCAACTTTATTACGTCTTATATCTTTATTACAGGAATATTACATTGATTATTTGGGTTTAAAAATACCATAGGCATTATTACAAGGTACAATAAGGTCACTATAAAGACAAAATTGAGCACCACAGACACAGTTTAAATCCCTAAAGGGACATTATGAGACATGATGTGTGTGTGTGTGTGTGTGTGTGTGAGAGAGTGTGTATGTCTGTGTGTTTAGGTGAGGCAGCTGGAAGTAATCCCATTTAGGTACCAGCGTACAGGACTTTTGTTGGGCCCTAACCCTTATTTGACAGGAAATCCACACTTCAGCCGTTAACGGGCGGCGGACTTAAAGCCCTCCAGAGAGAGCAGCAGGGGAAAGAAATGGTTTGAGGTAAATGCCAGACGCCCGGCGCTCCCTCATTAAGACGCGTGCAGCTCATTTAATTTTTCTTTGGTCACTTTCTCTCCCTTTGGTCTGTCTGTGTGTGTGTGTGTGTGTGTGTGTGTGCAGGAACGTACCAGCAGGTGTAGAGGTGTGTGTGTGTGTGTGCTCAGCGGTTCTAGGTCTTGGCAGCAGGCACGGAGGTGCACAGCGCACCCTACACACATCACACCCGCAACGTCAATCAGTGTCAGTGCAAAGAAGGAATCCAGACGCTCAGAAAATCTGTCTTGGAGCAACTTTTTGTACCCTTTGAACTACAGCTAGCCCCCTTGTGCCTCGCAAGCATCAGGTAAATAAGTTATGGCTTGACAGCTGATTATGCATCGAGGGAGAAGATGTTGGAAGTGGGAGTGCTCTTTCATAACTGAACAAAGCAATGGGAATATTAACTTCCATGATTTATTTTTTCATTCAAAGCCCCAGGCCTATTCCCGAGGATTCCAAAAATATTATTAATAATTCCGCAGCATGACTGAGAGCATGGAAAGTATAAGACGCAGATGCAGAAGTGTCTTAAACTTATTCTTTCTAATGGCCAGCAGGGGGCGACTCTTTTGGTTGCAAAAATAAACCAAATTGTATAGAAGTCAATAAGATAATTACCCTACTTTTCACTAAAGTTATACAAACATTTCAACATGACTTTATGGTCTCACTAGCGAATTTATAGTTTTCAATCCAGCATGATGTTCATTTCGTAAATGATGGTCCCATTTAGAGTAAAACAGACAATTGAGCACTTGAGCATGGTCACTTTGTAATTGACAGGTCGCTACCACGGCATTGTTTGGTCTGGGAGTTGTGCACGTGTTTGTCACAGAACTCAGTTCATAAATGTTAATTGTAACGTTAAAAAAAAAACAAGATGGAGGCAGCCGAAATGCCGAACTCAAGGTTTAGTCCAAAAGACAATGAGTGACGTCCCGTTGGCTACCTCCGCTTCTTACATACAGTCTATGTTTGGAAAGTGTGTCCATTTGGAGCGGCCAACGGAAGTGCTGTAAAGGTCCGCTGCGGACGACATGCTCCACTCATTTCACGGAGCCCTGAAGACCCATTGATATTGAACAAGTAGCATGCCCAAACTGCACCAACCTCGACGGTGCACGTCATATGGTCTCAAGCAAAACGCTCGCCAAGAGTAAAGTAGATCAGATGAAAGGTTCTCGAGATATGCAAAGGACACACAGACGCAGATTGTGTGCTTTCCAGATAGATGCCCACATAAACACACGCCTATTTCATGGCCTGCTGAGATACATAAAGAGGTGTGGACAGGGGAAGTGAGGAGGCGGAGGAGGGAGACCCAGAGATACGAGTAGTGTTCATCATAGGGGAGAGCTGGGAGGTTTGTCAGCTCCCAAGGCCAGAACATGTATGCCAACATGTGTAATTCTAAGATGAACTCGAAGCGTTCAAAATTTGAGTTCTCTTCTTTTTTGGGCAAGTCTTGATTTTGAGAGATTTTATGGGTGTTACCTGGACTTACCTTATCAGGGTCCAGGTGTCCATGCCTTGACCTGGGCCAATATCTCTAACAATGCTGGCCATCCCACGTGAATGATTTTACCCCAATCTCTCCAATTACTTTACACCCCAGCTGCCCAACAAACACTCTCTGTCCATGCTTCCCTCCATTCCTGCAGATGAAGGAGGCTAATCACCGGTGTGATCTCCCCCTTTTCACCTCTGACCCCCCCCGACACTAGAATAACAACCTCCATACCAGCCCCCCAAACTCTTGACGCTCCCCCACCCCCCAATTAGGAGGGTGCTTTTTCCTTTGCAGATGACAGATGAGGGGTCAGAGGGTTGTCAGACCCCCTTGCTAGTCTCTCCTCGTGCCCGCCGAGGGATGAAACAGGAGGACGCCCTTGCCTTGGGGAGTGACAAGGAAAAAGGTTTAGAGATGGAAGTTGTATTGACATAGATGAATGACTGTCGGACAACTGGGCACAGGAGCACAAAGAGTGGGGAAGTTGGGTTGGGAAGCAGATGGGAAGTTAGACCTGTTGGATGGAGTTTAAGTTAAAGAAGAAAAAGGTATTCAAGGAAAAGAGAAACTATGAACAACTGCTGCGGCAAGACTGAAAAATGTGACAGAGAATCAGAGGTCAGCGAAAGAGATTGTGAGTATATTGAAGGATTGAATGACCGGAGTAAAAACGAATGAAATTGAGAACAGGGGAGGAAAAAGACAGAGAGAGATAAGGCATCGCTTGCTGTGCTGAAACGCTACAGCGAGCCGCTGCAATAAAAGCAGAGGTGCAGTCCAATGAATCAAGGCTTTGGGGGCTTTCCTCTCTCTGTTGTGTGTTATGTCCACTGCTAATGGTCAGCAGATGTGGAGGTATT